GCTCATTGTTGTAAAGCTCTTTGAGATCTACAGCTGATTTGTCCCTGGCCAGTCTCAGGTACCAGAAGCCACTGGGTCAGGCACTGCCGCAGGGATTTTGGGGAGCATCTGATGAGTTCAGGTGGTAAGCAGCAGAATCTGAGTCATGGTATGAGAGTCGGAGAACCCATGACCACATTTTCAGACCAGAGCCTCTAATTCTGCACAGGTGGTTCCAGCCATGCGATGGCGTGCATGTGCTGTATCATCAGTGGCTGGGAGTGCAAAAATCGAGGCCAAATGAAGCCTGTTTGGAAATTTGGCCTAATAAGGTAAATAGGGTAAAATTTTCAAAAGCACCTGCGAGATTTAGGAGCCTGTGTCGCATTTCCAGAAGTGATTTAGGGTCAGATTTCCAAAAGAATTTAGGGAACCTAAAGATGCCGATGAAATCAGTTGGCGTTAGGCCTCAAGGTGCTTTTGAAACTCCCTCAGGGCACCTATCTGAATCTATCTATCTTTGAAAACCTGGCCCTAGGCACTAGGAAGTTAGTGCTATGTCACTTTGAGGCTGTTTTGAAATGTGACCCTTAGCGTCTGGAGGTCCTCCAGGTATCAAAACATCTGCACCCACTGCAGGAGGTTCAGGGAAATACCCTATAAACCGTCATTTGCGGGTCCTGTTGTAGAACTTGTTCGATTTAAATCCATTTCCCTTCTCTTTCATTTATTTATTTATTTTCCTCTTTTTTGGTCTAGCGCAATGGTTGGTCTCCAGCCTTCTCCCCCATCCAGCTCACCTCACCTTTGGAGCCATCCAGCACCATCTGCCACTTGGAAAAACCCTGTCTGCTAATCTGCTCTAAGCTCGCTGAATCCTATCTGCTCCTCCAGTCTGTACGGTCTGCCGGGCAGTTGGATGGAAGTAAATGTAGCTATCACCCAGGTTTCCTGGGATATATGAACAGTGACAGCCACAGCTCTTCAAAGCCATCCCCGGGGAGCGCAGGTGGAGTGTCTGCCGTTGCTGCTGGGCTCTGCAGTGTCAGCTGTAATTAAGGTTCCGTTGGCATTTCCATTATAAATGGGATGGTGTAGGGAGAGGGGCAGCTTGTTTTATTTTACTACCTCGGGCATCCCAATCTGCAGCTCGCGGACACCCAGCCCGCAGGCTGCCAGCCTGCATCTTTCGCTTGAATGTAAAAAAATAAAAACTGGACCTCAATTCTGCAGACATTTTCTGAGAGCAGGAAACGCAGCTCTGGATTTCAGCCCTCGCACCCTTCCCCCGGATGGGAATCAATGACTGTCTCGTAAACGGTTATGGGCCAGTTCATCCCTTCCCCAGAGCGAGGCTCTGATCTCCTATTCTGGGACATGCCAGGAGCTGCCCTGAATTACACCCTAGCTGCAATACCCCCGATGGGCTGTTCCAACTGTCGGGAACCGCCAGGGCGTAGGAATGCCCCAGTCATGTGTCCTCCCTCCCTGCCTCGTGCCCCAGGACTCCCACGTGGGATGGCACAAGGCCGGCTATCACGCGCTATGCACGTGCCAGGCTCTGCTCTACGCCAGGGCCGATCCTTAAGCATCGTTCTAGGGGCTTTGTGGCACCTTCCCTTTGCAGCCTCACCAGAGCAAAGGGGCTGCGAGGCTGTTTGTCCCTTTGTGCTTAAAGCAGGCTGAGCAGTCATTATAACTAATCTAAGGCCTGATTCTCCCTGGACCCTAGAGTCACTCTGGATTGACATCCTGGTCACAGAGGAGAATCCTACCCTTGCGTTTGAAAATCAGCTGCTGAAGGCTAGTTCCCTGCATTAATATCACATTGAAAATGGCTCGATATGGCACGACAGGCCCTTTTTCCTGTGCACTGCCTTGCTGATTCTGCAGCGCCTCCCGCAGCTCCAGTCCTAGCCTCCCACCGCTCTGCAGATGCACCTCAGACCTGACCCACAGCACCTCCCGCTAGTCAGAGCTCCAGCAGAGACAGCTAATCACGCTTGCTTGTGCTTTAGGGAGCTCAGCTTAAGCCCATGCAGTCTGGAGAGAATTTGGGCGGTTGAATTCCTCCCCGAGTCGATTCTTTCTCAGCCAGGTTCAGTTTTAAACCAACCAGCCCTTTATTTTCCAAGTAGGTGTCTAATGCCAGCCCCGACTGGGTACCAGCATTTGGAGCATCATCAGTCTCCGCCGCCCCCCCAATCTGCCACCTCTGCTGATTCCCCATCAAAAGGATTTTCCAAGCAAGGCTGTCAGGAGAGAGCTGCTTTGGGGGAGCCTTGGCTGTGCTGAGTTAATGGTGGGTGACCTTTGCTTGCATTCTATCTCCCTTTGCTACTTCTGCAAATGAGTCCGTGATTCCCAACACCCAGGGTTAGTTAGTGTCACTTCCAATCCCCTAATGATCCCTGTAATTATGGAGGCATATGGGGCCTCCCACTGCCTTGCCAGATGACCCTCTCCCATCCCCCCACATTGCTTGCAGGATAGCGTCCCCTTTTACAAGGCTGACTTTGAACGAAAGCTCTGGACCCTGCTTCCCAATTCTGCCGGAGTCTGTTGTGAATATCAGATTCCCCCCTCCCTCCATCTGCCTCAAACATGAGGCCTGCAAAGAGCTGCTGGCTCACGTGGGTCCATTTTCCAGAGCACCTCACTGGAAATGTATCATGCAAGAGCAAAGACACAGGCCTGAGCCTGCAGCGCTTCCACAGGCAAAACCCTCAGCCACCTCGCGTCCAGAGTGCAGGATTGGCCCCTTGAGAGAACCAGCCAAGGAGAGAGGGGAACAGAAGGGTCAGGAGAGAGGCGGGACACGGCAGAGCGAGAGAAAGGGATAGATAGAGGGAAATGGGGAGCAAAATGCAGCCGGAACGGGAAAGGAAGAGGGGGGAGGAATTAGAAAGAGAGGTGCGAGCCAGACAGAGGGAGAGAGGAGCACAGAGAGAGGGGCAAGAGCTGAATTATTGTGCAAACTGTGCCACTCAGGAAGCGGGGGCTGGAGGAAAGGTGGGGAGATCTTCCTAGAGGATGCTGGGCTGGTGGGGGCTGAAGAGGAAACAGCTGAGGCAGCTGCAGAACATCTGGCAGCAGAAAGAACTCCCCAGGGACTCCAGAGGACAGTGTGACTGGCAGGCAGGCAGAGCAGGGTGGATCCCGCCAGCTCTCCGCTTCCTGCGCGGTCCTTGTTTACCAGATGTTTCTCTCCATTCATCCTGTTCGTTCCCCAGCCCCCAGCCCCTTCATGTTGAAGGTGGGGCAGGAGATTCCCCAGTGCTACTCTGGGGAGGGCTGTCAAAGGGCGTGGGGAGGGGCACGGTCAGGGGCTGGGACGAGGCCAGATGGCCCCTCTTGGTGCATCCTTCCTCATGCTGAGTCAATAGTTCCACCCAGCCGTCTGTTTGCCGCCAAACACTTGCCTAGCACCAGCCTCCATTTGTAATCCCAGCGGATGCAATCACCCCAGAGTGAAACACTCCCCCCATCGCCCCAGGGTAAAACAGCCTCCACTGTCTCTATCCCAGGGAGCCTCCCCCACCCCATTTTCCCCAAGGAGAATCACTCCCCTGCCACCATAACCCCAAAGTGAACCTTCCCTCCATTAGCCACCATGGTGTAACAGCCCCCCGCTGCCTCCATTACCTGCCCCACAACTTTGGGTGAAACACCCCTCTCTCCATTGCCCCGGTAACAGTCACGCTCCAGCTGTTCTCCTAGTACTCCAGACTAATAACCAAACCCCCACTGCCAAATGATCTCGGGCAGCAGCCCAGTTTCGTTGTCTCCTGTTGGTTCTGGGTAACAAAGGTTTATCTGCTTAGGAGCCTTTGGGCCGTTATGGGCCTTGGGAATGGTCTGCTGCTGAACCCCACTCCCTCCCGCCCCCCAGCACACCGTGTGAGCTCTGGTTCAAGGTTCCTCGCTGGGCACGGCCCTGATCTCCACTTGGAGCTCAGCTAGCACCCCAAGCAGGGTCTTCTGGGGGTGGGACTGTGCTGTTGGAAGTGCTGTCTTGCAGAGATGTGCATAGCCTAAGGGTCCAGTCCTTGAACCACTGACTGTGGGATATATCCCTTCCCTGCGATGGGGAAGGGATTACACTCCGTAGCGAGCACTAACGCAAGCCAGTAAGCATTACACAGTAGTTAGTGTCTGTAGAGTTGGATGCTGTCATGGCCTACTTATACTCTGTCTTGTTGGTTCAGTTGGATACAGTATTGTTAGCTCCCAGATCTGACCGGCTGCTTAGTGCTGCCAAGTGCTATGAAATGACAGCTGTTTCCCACCCCACAAGGAATTCATTTTGGTAGTGGATGAAATCAGGTCACAAGGCCAGTCGGATGCTGCCCCTGTATTATGGAGAACAGGGTAAAGGAGAAAGAACATTGATTGAAATGAAAAGGCTGTGGATTTAAAACACATATGAGGAAATGCCTTTTATCACAAGGGGTAGTAATCCCATGGAACTCACTGCCACATGATTATTGCAGCGAACAGCTTGGTAAGATTTTTTTGTTGAAGGATTAGACACACAAATTAAAAGTAGTCTCTTTCGTTCAACGAGCTCAGAAAACAAAATAACCCACAGCTAATGATTCAGGGACTAAACTGATCAGCAGCTGGGATCAGGACACTCTTCCCCCTGCAGTATTGCACAATTAGGTGCATTATGGGGAGCTTATGTCTTCCTCTGAGCCATCTGGCACGGGCCACTGTCTAAGACCGAATACCGGGCTAGCTGGCTCATTGGCCTGTCCCAGCAGGGCTGGTCCTGTGCTCCTGGGAGACTGTGTTAATTGGAGTTATGCAAACTAAATCCCCTCGCTCTGCTGAGCATTTACTCCTCAGTGTCCAATCCGTTTGTTTTATCAGGTGTTCATTTAACCCGGGTTTCCCATCAGTCTAGGGCATCCGTACAACCTTTAACCAAGGGTGAGCACACAGTCCATTCCAGACGGGCCCATAGTCCAGTTCAGGTTACTTTCCTCTCTAGGCTGTAAACAGAGTCAAAGTTCCAGATGGCCTCCGAAATCCAGTTATTCTTCACCCTAGAGCAGTCCCTAGAGGCCATTTCAGATTGTCCCAGAAATCCAAGGCAGGACTTTCCCCACCTCAATCCACATGGAGAAACAGGCTGCGAGAGTCCTCTACCTCTCTTAACCCTAATGCAAGACTTAACCAACGGTGCTTCCCGCAGGACAGTCAAAGGTAGGGTGACCAGATGTCCTGATTTTATAGGGACAGTCCCGATTTTTGGGTCTTTTTCTTATATAGGCTCCTATTACCCTCCACCCCCGTCCTGATTTTTCACATTTGCTGTCTGGTCGCCCTAGTCAAAGGTAAATCCCAGCCTGGAGATGTGCAGGTTTCCCTGAAAGAGATTCGAGCTGCTCCCCCGCCTATCTATCTTTGCCATTCTGCATGGACATTTGCTGGTACACCCCCGCCGCCAGGGGACTGTCCCCTTCTCCTTGGTGGTTCTGCTGCCAGTGGAAAAACCCTGCTTGGGGTAATTTTCATGTGAAGGGCCAGGCCCTCTCGGGGAATGCTTCCTCTTTTTCTGGATCAGTATTTAAGATTCCTTTAGCAAATGTACTGCTCCGATCTGTACTCTGTCCTGTTGGCTCAGCTCCCCGGGAGTTTCGCGTCGGGTCACTGCAAGAGCGATAGTAGCTCCGAAGGCAAGAAATAGGGAGTAAAAGTCAGAGGAATACAATTAAATTAAAAACATCTATTCTCTAATCCCGGGGATGCAACAGGGGGAAGCAGCTGAACATTCACCTAGAGAACAATCCTAGCAGGATTTGTCTGTAGGCAAATTGCATCTCATATTCATTGTCACTTCCTAGCTGAAATCTTAATCCAGGCCCAGCAGTGAGGGAAAGATTCGGGAGGAACACAAACGACGCAGGGATTTCTGTAGGGCGTCTAACCTTCCTTCACAGCCCTTAAGAGTCTCCAGCTTTAGCTGGTTTTTGATTTCACCCAGAATGCTTGGCGTGGCCTTAATCCTTGATGCGTTCGCTCATCAGCACTGACCCTAAAACCGATTAGCCCCAATTTTCCTACTGTTCACAGCTCGGACTTGATCTTCCCTTGATCCCATGTGAGGCAGGAGAGATGAATTTCCCTAAGTCACAGGAAGCAGGGGCTCCTGGTTCATGTCCCTATCATTCCCAGAGGCTTTCACATACACACAGGCCTAGTTGGGTCCCTGGGATGAAGACTCGCCTCGCAATCAGCTGCCTCCCCTCACGCAAAAGGCCGACAGATGGCGTATGGCAGCTGCCTCGCTCTGATGGTCACTTTAGGGTGGCATAGAGGGTAGGATAAAGTGGGGGGTTTTGAGTCCTGGACTGGGGGAGCCCTGACTGTGGCAGTTTGGGGCTCTCAGTTCCTGTGGTGGCGGGCAGGGGAGGGGAAAGGCAGGAGACAGTTGTGTGGGGGGCAGAAACCCAAGGCAAGAGATCCAGTCTAGGTGCCCCGGTTCCATATGTATCTGTCAGGTGACAGGCAACGATTCTGGTCTTTGGTTCGTGTTGTCACGCGCAAGGTGAGTGGTAAATACAAAATATGCCACCTGTGATTCCATACAGGGTGAGGGCCCTGATTTTGCAACGACAGCAGAGTCCTGGGTTAGGCTCTGTCAGCCGCTGACTGAGGGCATTCACTCATCCATCACCATCAAGGTTCACCGTTTGGGGGTCCGGTTAGATTCCCATCAAATAACAGCACTGACCAGCACAGCTTCTATCCATCCTCGTCCAGCCAGGAAGCTGTGTCCTTTCTTCCTGGATGGGCCCATGCTCCGTATCTTTATCGCCTCTAGGCCGTATCACTGCAATGCGTTCTGCCTGGGGCTGCACCTGAAATCCATGTGGAAGCTGGTGGAGAATGTGGAGACTCGCTGGTTAAGAGGCGTATCTGGCCGGGGGCAGGTGACAACCATGTCCTCGGATCTGCGCTGGCTGCCGATTGGCTCCAAGTGAAGCTTGAAGTGTTGGTGTTGATCTATATAGCCCTAAGTGGCCAGGGGCCATCCTGCCTGCGAGACCATGTCCCCCATCACCCCATCTAGCACTGTTTGAGGTCAGCAGAGGCACTCACGCTGGAACTTCCAGGGAGAGGGGGCTGACGGCAGAGGGTTCTCCAGGCACCTTGACTTTGGCATTCACTTCCCCTCCCTTGATCCTGCGGAGATGGAACCTGCTGCCCTTCAGCGCTCACCGTTGTGAACCAGTGTCGTTGGGGCGGGGGCTGAGCGTGCTCGGGGAATGTCTACACCGGCGGTGGAGGGCTTCAGACGGGATTGTGCGCTGGGCAACTCGCCCCTCCCGCCACCTGCACTGCTCTTTGTAGTGCACGCTTTGAATCGGCGCTAGCGCAGATATGGAAATCCCACCTCCAGCTCCAGTGTGGACGTACCTTGGTGGAAACCCAAGGGGTCGGGAGAGTTTGTGCTGCAGTGTTTCCCTGGCTGATTGGCTGACTGGGGTGGACGGGGGTGGGAGTTTCTGCTGTTCTGGTTTTACTCTCCTGGGTTGTATTTTGAGTCAATGGTGGGGTGTCTGCAGCTTGGGAGAGCCCCGGTATGTGGGCCGAGCTCAGACAAACAAAGGATGCGGGATCTGAGCTTAAGTCCAGGGCTCGGCCCTACATTCTCCAACCCAGCAGAGCTGGCCTCAGACACAAGCAAGGCAAACCCCTGCTCCTTGGCAGCAGACACAATGACTCACAGGCCATTTCCCCTTTGACAGTTCAGGCTCCTGCAGGCCGGGAGGAAGGGCAGGGTTTGGGTTGCTGGAGCAGAGCAGGCTGATGAAAGTAGAGAGGTGGTAGGTTATGGGAACACGCTCAGTCACGCTGCTCCTTCCGCCGGGGCCCAGGTGGCCACACGCCATGGGAGGCAGGACCATGGCGCTTTCCTCAGTTTCTTTTTGCAGCGGCTTGGGGAGAAAAGTGTGCTCTGCCCCCCTCCCTCCCGCGCCAATAAAGGGCACATGCTCCTTCCCCAACCCAGCTCCCTATGGCAGCTTTGCGGGGACATGTGTAGCCTCAGGCTTCCTCCCCACCCCCAATAGCTGGAGAACGTCTCTGGGGCTAGACTGACATCCCTCAGCCTCTCACAGCAGGAGGGTCTTTTCCCCCACAGCTCCCGGGCAGTGCTAAAAGCCCAGATGCAGGCAGAACCAGGCCCCATTGCTGCACTGAGCTTGGCCTGGGCAAACTCTCTGCTCACGAGGCACTCAGCGCAGGAGCAGGGCCGTAGGCGGGGCCCAAGGTGCTGCAATTACATTCAGCTGCTTCTCCACCAGGCACTTTTCCTCCATGCTGTCCCGTGTTCATGGAACACCCTCCCCACACAGGTCCAGGAAGCCAGCACCCTCTCCTCCTAGTCCAATTGCTGCCAATGGCATTTGGATCACATCCAGAGGTGGCCTGTCTTGTGCATGTTCTTGTCAGTGTCACCTTCCCCTGAGTCTATGTCACATCTCCTCTTATAGTAGATTGGAAGCCCTTTGGGGCCTGGGCTGTTGGCACAGAGTCCAGCACGCTGACTGGGGCTGTTGGGATCTACAGTGATGCAAAGAGTAATCAAAGAATGAAAACAGCCAGATCCCATCTTGCTAGGTCATCAATCAACATTTCACTTTGATAAAAAAATCCCCCCTGCACACACACACATCCCACACACACTCAGAACAGTCCCCCACAGGAACCGCCAGCCTGAAGGACAGTGGGGTTTTATCTTATGAGACGAAGTGGGGATTTTCTCTTGTTACGTTGTATGTGAGTCTTACTGTTGAGCCTATGAAAGGTTTCAGAGTAGCAGCCGTGTTAGTCTGTATCCGCAAAAAGATATGCATCCGAAGAAGTGGGCTGTAGTCCACGAAAGCTTATGCTCTAATAAATTTGTTAGTCTCTAAGGTGCCACAAGTACTCCTGTTCTTCTTGTTGAGCCTATGTGAGTTTTACTGTTTTGCATGAATACGGTGTGTGCCTCAGTTTCCCTGTGTGCTGCACCAATGCCTCGGTGGGGGGAAGAGGGGTGTGTGACTTTGGCTGAGACCTCTGGGGCAGGTGAGGCTGCTCCAGCTGTCTGCACATATGCTATGGCCGGTGCCCTTCGTAACCTGAGACCCAGGAGGGGGGTGCAACCAGGTGACAATCAGGTGACTCTTTGCCCAGGAAGGGACACACAGACAAGGAGGAAGAGCAACTGGGATATCGGAGGTCAGGTGGCTGGAAGCTGGCAGTCTGCTTGGGGGGACTGGAAGAGGGGAAGTCCAGGGCTTCTGGCCCAGGACTCCCCAAGATGGACTTGGCGGAAAGTCACTGATTTCTGTGTTAACAAGTTCTGTTCTACGCGGTGTTCCCTGTCGACTAATAAACCTGTTTTACTGGCTGGCTGAGAGTCACGTCTCACTGCGGAGTTGGGGTGCAGGCAGGGCCGGTGCAACCCATTAGGCGACCTAGGCGGTCGCCTAGGGCACTAGCATTTGGGGGGCGGCATTTCGGGTCCTTCGGCGGCGACCGCAGCGGCCGGATCTTCGGCCGCTCCGGTCGTCGTCAGCATTTAGGCGGAGGGAGCTGGGGCAGGGGGGCACGGGGAGGGCCGCCTGCAGCAAGTAAGAGGTGGGGGTGGCACGCAGGGGAAC